TTTATATTTAGAAACAAAAATAACACGTGTTGAAGGCAATCACAAGAAACTAAGGTCAATAAGTAACAATAGCAGAAAATTCAGAAGGGAGTAAGCCCAATTTTCATATCTTTCGGCCCATTCATTGCAGCACAGCTGTGCAGTGCAGATGTATGTGAGAGTCCACAGGCCTGGCTGTTGAGGGTTTAAAACTTTTTTTTTAAAAAAAAAAACCAATACAAGTTTGAATATAATAGTTAATGAAAAATTTAATTTGATTTTAAAAATAAAATTTCAATTCATCTTGTTTTTTATATTTATTAATTTTTTTTCCTCAAAGTATCCTCTGATTGCACGTGTTAAAGAGTTTCCATTCTAATACATATTATTAGCAAGGGTATATTAACAAATACAACACTTATTTATTACAAATAAGTAGTTTAACTAATTTTTTTAAATATTTCATAATTAGTTATATAGCTCTTATATTAAGAAGCATAAGTGTATGAATTTTGAAAGAATAATTCAAACGAATTTCTTTAAAAAAATTTGTCTTCTCAGATCTCATTCTCAAAGGCAAATCCAAATCCTACCATAAAGCTACAATTTAAGGCACAGGTAGAAGTCACGCAGTACAGGCTTCTTCCACGTCAGCACCGTTTCAATGTCAGAAGCCCTAGCTGATGAAATTAATGTTTCGATATTGAAATTGCTGTTTCTGTGTGTGTGTGTGGATAAGAGAAGGATTGTGCGACCAAGTGACACCTGTACGACACACAAATGGAACTCATACCATGCAAAGGTTTCTTCCTCAGTAGTAACTGTCTTGGGTGATGTTAAAACAATGGCAAAATTAATGCCCACACACTATCCAAGTACTTACCTAACTGATGATGTTATGTATATTTTAAGAATCAATAACTACATATGTTTCTGCGGTCTTGGCCTTCAAGATTGAAGGAAATGTTGTTACTATAAATCAATTAATATAGAGTTCATGCATTATGTTACGAGGTCATATTAAAATACCACTGCGCTTGATGCTTCAATGAAACATATATACATACATATATATATATATATATATATATATGGCCCTTAAAAACACACACAAACATATGATGAACCACATGTTGTAGTTTTTATAATTCTATATGCTTTTGGTTCTAATTACGTAATGTGGCCTTATTAGTCTTCAAGTACTGTGTATCAGCCTTGAGGCTCTAGAACAAGGAGCTTTGCTTTTAATTATTGGTTGGTGAGAAAACTGAGAAATGGCAAGTACGGTTATGGAATTATTTTATTGATGCTTAGCTTTTATTACATAAGACACGTACGTACATTACATAACACAAAAATCTCATGCAGATTGTTTTATTCAACACACAGCAAACAAGACACACATATATAAGGGGTGACAAAAAGTTCAAGAGTGATGCCCAAATCTAGAGGCTAGTAGCCTAGCTTGCTCCGTGATGAGCAGCCTTAGCTTAAAGCTTTTTGTTTCTTGGAACCCAGGAGATAGTTCCAGAGCACAAAAAGTGGCAAACTGGTATTGTTCCTGGCAGGATCTTGAGTTAATGCAACAGCTTATGGGGATCCAAACCTGTTGTATCGTGGTGGCAAAGAGCCGCTATGCTGGTTCTAGTGCCATCACTAGCTTCCATGGGAACTATACAAGTGACTGTTTTATTCACTTGATGACAGTAAAACACACGTTTCTCAAAATTCAACTTGTGACGTATTATTCCTATACTTGAAAGCCTCTGTATTGAGTTTGATGAGGCACAAAAGAGCTTGTGAGTGCTTCAATGTCCTTCCCCAACTTTGAAATGACGAATTCAAGTAACGATTCTACAGATTTTGCACAAAACTTGTCATCTTCTCTCACAGACCTTTCCTTAGCGCATTGCATATTGCTTCCAAATTAAACTTGAATTCTCAAGCTCATTATTATTTATCATTGTGTTTATTTTCCATCCCAAAACTCCATAAGGCTGGTTATTATAGCTTGACTTCTCTGCATCTTTCTCCATAGCAATATTACTTTTCTGCCCCTTAGATGCGTAAGGGGAGTTGAATATTACGTTCATTTGTTTTCCAGCATGGAGGTCTTCCTCAAAGAAGCTGGTATAGGGATATCGAGTTTCTTTATTTTCCACATGGTTCACACCTTTATTTGACGCATGCCCAAATGAATTTTTGTTAATTACAGATATCGTAGAACCATACGAAAAAATATGCGTATTGTAAATGGTCAGAGAAGATGTGGAATCATCGACATGATACATATGTTTTGACACTAACGTATGCACATATGTAAATTCTTTCCACGGAGAAACAAAATAATCAGAGGTTTCATTTAGTAAATCTTTTCATGATATTATTAATGCCTGAATTTTATTAATTTAGTCATGATTTATTTACACGAATATAAAATATAAAGTAGGCTTATTTTGTATATGTCTTAATACGCCTTGACTATTTTAGTTAAAGATAGAAGAAAGGATTATCTTATGACATGAATATGAATCCTTTTAGAATCCTTTTCTTTTCCTCTAAGAATCCAATCTCCATCTTTTAATGAAAAAAATAGATGATGCAAATAATATTAGGTTAATATCATTGTTAGTCCTTACAGTCTAATTTAATTTTGGTTTTGGTTCTTGTAGTTTCAAATAATTGGTTTTGACGTCTATAATTTCATAAGGATTTGATTTCAGTTCTAGTACAGAGACTAAAAACAAAATTCATTAAGAGCATAAGGATCATTGGTTAAGGTCAAACAAGAAAACTATGAGATTATGGGGATCAAAACCAATTATTTGAGACTATGGAGACCAAACAGAAATTCAATCAAACTATAAGGATTAACAATAGTATTAACCTAGTAATATTTTCCAAAACTATTCTTATAATTGCACGAGACTTGCACAATAAGCAAATTAATTGGGAGATATAACTGAACAAATTGAACGGCAAATAAATAAATGGTGAGGATTAATCAAAGCATGCCATGGATTTGAAGTCTATATTTTCCATATATTGTTTAGTTTTCACGTATCCAGTTTTGTTTTAAATTTAAATTTTTATAAAAGTTTCTGGTCAAACTATTATTTTTAAGTTGATAATGTCCCAAAGTTAATAATTAAAATTAAGTACGATATAGAAGTCGATCATAAAGGTTGTTTTAGTTGGTCAAACTGGAATTTTCAAATTTTGGGATATAAGATTGGAAAGAGTATAATTGTGCGAAAATCAAAATATAATTATGAACTGAATACCATAAACTTTCAAAAACATGGAAGAAAATTAAGTAAACTTACACAGAACAATATATAATGCTCAAACAGCAAGACGTGGGAGCTCCATTATTCCAGTATGCGAAGAGAAGAAAGATTAGCAGTGAAGAAGTCGCACTGAGAATCATTAACCATAGTACCGTGGGATTAATTATGATGGGTCATTGATTCGAGTAATTAAAGGCGAAAGGGGACAACATATAAAGCTTCGATGAATGTACCCATATTACGAGAAGATGTAACATGGACACACAGGTGGAACTCATGCAAGGCTTTTTCCTCATCAGCACCGTTTCACTGTAAGAAACCCTAGCCTATGAAATTAATGTTTCAATGTTGACATTTCTGACACCCATGCATGATGCCGATTAAGAGGACGACACACAAATGGAAATCATGCAAAGGTTTAATTTCTTCCTCAGTACATATCTGAGTGATGTTAGAACTCTTGCACAATTAATGGCTACACACCATTCAAAGTACCTAACTGACGTTATACTATATTCGTTTCATAATATAAGAGCTAGTTGGGGATTGAATTTGGTCATAAATATAAGATTCTGATTCACTTTGTTTCTAACATTTATTCATTTTACCCCCAAGTAATCCCTATGGTGATTACATATGTTAAGGAGTTTTTATTAAATGGTAGTTCCAATACACATTATTAATATAAGTATTTAGGAAAGACAACATCTGTAATTTTCACAAATTAATTATCTAACTCTTATATTAAGAACCATAGATTGTATTTTTCTGTAGTCTTGGCCTTCAAGTGCTCTTTGATTGTACGTTGAGGTTCAAGGAAATGTTGTATTGCTGAATCTTTACAAGTACTTTGTAAGTAGCAAGTGTTCTTTTAGCTATAAGACATGTTTTGACCTTAAGGAAACCTTAATGAACCTATTCTCCAGGGACAAAGCCACGTTGGCAAAAACACGTAAGCTAATGAGAAACAGTTACATGTGATGAAACGAACACATGTCTCTGTTATTTATATTTTCTGCAGCACCAAGTTACGAGGTGGAATCCACGCAAAGGTTCTTCATGTTTGAGGCTTGAGTGTGAAAATTGTCTGGGTCTCTGTTTCTGAAACAGATTAGTACAGGAACTCATCTTTATATGCTTTAGCTTCATCAACTTTCGAAATCAGTACGTTAAAATTCTAGACGGTCCACATTACTTATCAAGTGATGAGCGCTGGGTTCTCATCACTAGATGAGCACCAAAACCGGGTCATACCTCTTCCCTTGATGCTCAAATGAGATATATGGCTGCTAAACAAGCACACACATATGAACCACATTTTGCGATTTTATATATATAGGACTCTTGGAAATCTCAAAATGTGACCTTTTATATATATATATAGACTTCGCTGTTGTGAGATGTTTCTAATTAAAATTTTTAAGCTCTATCCTTTTTGGGTTCTAGTTATGTAACGTGGCCTTGATCTTCAAGTACTGTTTCATAATCGGGGCCTCAAGGTAAGGAGTTTTGCTGATTATTGGTTAGTCAGAAAACTGAGAAATGACAAGCATGGTTATAGAATTAATGCTTTTATTATATATAAGACATACATTTATTACGTAACATGCCAACATCTCATATAGATAGTTTTGTCTAAGCACATAACACACTAGTTTTATCTAAGCACATAACACACTTGTACACACATATATAGGGTTACCGGTTACGAAGTGTTAAAGAGCGTGATGCTTTTATTTAAAAGTCGTAACCCACCAAAGCTAGAGACTAGCCTAGCTTGCTTAGCGAGAAGCCTTAAGCTCATTATTTCTTGGAACCCAAGAGATAGCTCCGGATCCCAAGAAATGGCAAACTGGCACTGTTCCTGGTAGGACTTTGAGTTGATGGAACAAATTATGGGGATCCATGCCTCTCGTATCACGATGGCAAAGAGCCACTATATTTGTTCTCGTGCCATCAGCAGCTTTCATGGGAACTATGTAAGTGATTGTTGCATTCACTTGATGACAGTAAAACACAGGCTTCTTGAAATTCAGCTTGTGACACATCACACCTTCACTTGAAACCCTCTGAACACCCTCCAATATTGTGTACTGAGTTTGATGAGGCACAAACGAGCTTGTGAGTGCTTCAATGTCCTTCCCCAACTTTGAAATGACGAAATCAAGTAATGATTCCACAGACTCTGCACAAAACTTGCCATCTTCTCCAACAAACCTTTCCTTAACATTGCATATTTCTTTCAATCTTAAACTCTTAGGCTCATTATTTACCATTGCATTTCTTTTCCATGTACCAACTCCATAAGGTTGATTCAAGCTTGACTTGTCAACATCCACTGGGTTTCTTTTCCATGTGTAAACTCCATAAGGTTGATTCAAGCTTGACCTATCAACATCCACTGCGCTTCTTTTCCAAGTATAAACTCCATAAGGTTGATTCAAGCTTGACTGGTCAACATCCACTGGGTTTCTTTTCCACGTATAAACTCCATAAGGTTGATTCAAGCTTGACTTGTCAACATCCACTGGGTTTCTTTTCCACGCATCCCCCGTGCTTCTTTTCCATGTACCAACTCCATAAGGTTGATTTAAGCTTGACTCATCAACATCCACCATGCTTCTTTTCCATGTACCAACTCCATAAGGTTGATTCAAGCTTGACTTGTCAGCATCCCTTACGTGTCTTTTCCATGTACCAACCCCATAAGGTTGATTCAAGCTTGACTTGTCAGCATCCCTTACGTGTCTTTTCCATGTACCAACCCCATAAGGTTGATTCAAGCTTGACTTTTCTGATAAAGCATTCCAAGATTGAGAAGATAAGGACTTCTCTGGATCTTTCTCCACAATATCAATTTTCTGCTCCTCATTAGCATAAGGACTCTTGAATATTATGTTCATTTGTTTGCCAGCATGAAGGTCTTCTTCAAAGAAGCTGGTATAGGGATATTGAGTATCATCTTTCTCTGCATCGTTCACGCCTTTGACGCATTCCCAAATGAATATTTGTTAATTAAAGATATCATAGAACCATAATAAAACATGCATGTATTATAAATGGTGAAAAAACCTTTGGAATATCAACATCGTGTTTTGAAATTAACTATGTATATTCATCAATATTGTAAGTAGTAAGGGTAGGGTAGGTTAGATGAGTGGAGATATAGGATTTAAATCCTTTTCACTTAAGGAAAAAAAATCTTTTTATTGAAGAACACAAAATAATCACATAGGTTCATTTAATTAATTTGTTCATGGTATTACTAACACATGAATATTTCACATACATATGCCTATATCCAAAATTATGTAAGATGCAAAGAAATTGTGGAGGTGATCGATGTTTCATTCCCATTTTTGTTTTGGGGGAAAAATTAAAGTTCATATAAACCCCCCCCCCCCCCAAAAAAAACATTTCTTCATTCTTTTCCTTATATAATGTTGATTTTAATCCGTTAAAAACATGGAATTGGAATAAAGATGTGAGAATTTTAAGTACTAACCAGACCACAACAGATACTCCAAATTCTTAGGCATAGAAGTGTCTGGCCAGATTGAATGCCAGTATTCTTCAGCCGAATGTGACGACGTCATATCACTCCCCGCAAGAGCCAGCTGCAGATATATCCAAAGCAAATCATCATGCAGAACAAACCGCAATTTAACTTTATGCAATGTCTGAGATTGTTATGACATGTAACTAAAAATAAGAAGCTAATAATATCAGCCCAATCATTATTAACTTCTGCCTCCTGATGAATAAAAGAAGCTTACACATAGCAGAACAGAAAAAACAGCAAAACGAAGCAGCTCCATGACAGAGTGTGATGAAGTGAAGAAAAAGCAAGTGAGATGATGAATCATTGAACTAAAGGTGCTTCCTTTATGTAGACAGACTAGGAAGACAATGCATAATAATTAATTCTACCAGCGACTGACACCCATGATGCTGACGAAGCGGACACGTAAGTTAGTGACTCTTATCCATGGTTTCTTCATTAATTATTATGAGCCACTTCACATGGGATGAAACGAACGAACACGTCTCTTGTAGTGTGTATATTTACTTTAAGATCCAATTAACTAATTTAAAAAGATTAAAAAAATCTAAGTAAATTACTTAATTATAGCATACATATCACTAGATTATACTACCTCTGGTCTTTAATAAGAGAACTAGTAGTGGATTGAATATAGTCCTAAATACTCTTATCCATTTTGTCCCCCTTATTTATTCAAACTAAGCTTATTAATTGCATATGTCAAGGGAGTTTGCATCAAAGCGTAGTTTCAGTCCAAATGATTTAAGAGGGTATATTAAGAAAACCAACACATATTTTTGATAAATAACTAATTTAACTACGTACTTTTCTTAATCTATTCAAATTAGTAAAGTAGATATTAAATTAAGAACTGAAGGTAGTATATCAAAAGAACAATAAATATTGATACTCTAAAGTAATGATTTAACTTTTTAATCTCTCCAAATTAGTCAACTGGAGTTTATATTAAATACCGGAAGTAGTATTTGACATTCATGATAATGGTTAACAGAGACGATACGAGGTGGAATCCATGCAAGGCTTCTTCATGCATGCCACTGAATTTGATGCTTGAATGTGGAAATTGGCTGGGTCTCTGTTTCTGAAACTGGTGGAAGAGTACAGCATAGGAACTCGCGAAATTTTATGTTCTCTGTGTGCGTGCGTGCGTGCGTGCGTGCGTAGATATGATGAGAAGGATTGTGCTACCAAGTGACACCTACGAGACACAGATGGAACTCATGCAAGGTTTCTTCGATCAGTACTTGTCTGAGTGATGTTATAAAAATCACAAAAGGTGCCTACGCAATGCACTATATCCAACGTAACTGCTGATGATTTTAAGTATATATTTAAGAATTATTAGTTAATTTTATGTTGGATTTTTAGAAAGGAAATAGATGCAAGTTCAGAAACTATAAAAACGATATTAGTGCATTAAATTAAACACAGTAAACACAGGCGATGACGATCGATGACCACTACGATGAGTTGGTTATGGTTATCACCTTGGTTTGTCAGCCAAGTGCGAGAGTTGGTGCTATTGTTTCACTTAAATGAGTTATTACTGTTCACAGTTCTTGATTTGTTAGAAATTTTATACTACCTCTGGGTTTTTAATACAAGATATAATTGACTAATTTGAGTATATTAAAGAACTTAGTTAAGTTAGTTATTTATAATAAGTATATGTTGTCTTTCCTAAAATATTCTTATTAATTAAGTGTATGAGCTATTCCTATTATTTAACGAAATATTTAACATATACAATTATTATAAGAAATATATTAGGAAAAAATTAGATAAATATGAGAAAAAAGTGAATTGAGGTCTTATATTTAAGACCAAATTAAAAATCAAACTAGTATTATATAGATATTGATGATAGCTCCCAAGATTTAGGACCCCACTTCATCTCATGTGTCCGCCACGTCTCCCCACTCTTCTGGCTTCGAAGACAATCATTGTCAAGTATCCGCATACCATCCCTTGTTATATGTAAAATAAAAGAGAGATATCTTTTTATTTTAATAACTAGATTTAGAGAAAAATATATAAAATAAATAGGTATAAAATATCTATAAATTCAATAGTTAATATATGTTGTGTATTGTATGAAATTTGAAATGAAGAATACATCATGTTTATACTTATAAATAGTTAATCACATATAATTAGTATATTAATAAAACTGTTGTTATAGCTATATTATTCTTGAATGGAATGTGTTTGTTTACTCCTTGGTCTTCAAGTACCCTGTGGGACTTGAGGCACCAGAACATACATTATTCACATTTTTCATTTATCATATAAATACTGAAAATAGAAATGTTGTGCCTGTATGGTCTAATCTGGGTATTTTGCTTATTAGAATATTTGGTCAATTTTTCAGCAATGTAAGAGTTATATAATACTACTCCTCCGGTTTTAAATATAAAACCTATTTTGTAGTGTAAATTATTGTTTTGAATAAAGTTATTTTAATCGATATGATAAGTCACATATATTGCACATAATTGCAAGTTTTCTTTTTCTTCTGTCATTTGGAATATTACTTGAAAATTAAAATATGCCGCTAAATTAAGTTCCATGATTTTTAAATTAATCCTCTCGATTAAAATTTCTGACATCAAAAGTTAATTATTAAAGTTTGATAGGAGATGAACACTACCAAATCAACATGGACGGCTGTACCTGACAGCAGACTCCATGAGATGAAGAGACAAGATATAGAACACATGCATATATATTACATATAACACGTAGCATTATGGTTTCATTCCTCACAACATTAGAACACATAGTGTTGAGAGAGTGCTGCATTTATTTAAAACTCATAACCCAAAGAGGGACTAGCCTTCATTAGTAGGCATCCTTATTGGATTTTCCCCACAACCAATGCCCTAATATTATATTGAGGAGAGTTTGACTTCTCTAAGTCTATATCCACTGCATTCCTTTTCCATAAACTGAAACCTTAAGGTTAAGGAGATGTTGTTGACTTCTCTATGTCTTCGTTCATTGCATTTCTTTTCCATATACCAACACCCTTGGGCTGAGGAGATACCGATGACTTCTCGGAATCTTCATTCATTGAGTTTCTTTTCCATATGCCAACACCCCAGGGTTGAGGAGATACGGATGACTTCTCTGAATCTTCATTCATTGAGTTTCTTTTCCACATACCAACACCCCAGGGTTGAGGAGATACTGATGACTTCTTGGAATCTTCATTCATTGAGTTTATTTTCCACATACCAACACCCCAGGGTTGAGGAGATACTGATGACTTCTCAGAATCTTCATTCATTGAGTTTCTTTTCCATATACCAACACCCCAGGGCTGAGGAGATACCGATGACTTCTCTAAATCTTCATCCATTGCGTTTTTTTTCCATATACCAACACCCCAGGGTTGAGGAGATACCAACGACTTCTCTGAATCTTCATTCATTGTGTTTCTTTTCCATATGCCAACACCCCAAGGTTGAGTAGATACCAATGACTTCTCTGAATCTTCATTCATTGCGTTTCTCTTCCATATGCCAACACCCCAAGGTTGAGGAGATACGAATGACTTTTCTGAATCTTCATTCATTGTGTTTCTTTTCCATATGCCAACACCCCAAGGTTGAAGAGATACTAATGATGACTTCTTGGAATCTTCATTCATTGCGTTTCTTTTCCATATGCCAACACCCCAAGGTTGAGAAGATGGCGGCTTCTTCGCATCTTTCTCCATAGCAATACTTTTCAGCTCTTCTTTAGCGTAAGGGCTGTTGAATATTATGTTCATTTCTTTGCCATCATGAAGGTCGTCTTCAAAGAAGCTGGTATAGGGATATTGAGTTTCTCTGTTCTCTGCATCGTTCACACCTTTGAGGCATTCCGAAATGAATATTTGTTAATTATAGATATCACAGAACCATAAGGAAACACATATGCATGCATTATAAATATCGTGGGATAGATATGGAATCGTCGACATCATGTTTTGAATTAACGCATGCATATTCATTAAAAAAAATTATTATTTTTTCATTGAAAAACAATGATTACGGAGGTCTCTTTAATTATTTTTTTTTCGTGGTATTATTAATACATTAGTATTTCGTATGTACATGAATCTGAAACAACTAGCAAGCAAGAACTTGTGGATATGTATCATTCCCAATTATGTTTCCAGTAGGAAAAACTAGTTTTGATATGTTTAAAAACTAAAGAATTAGAATACTGGTCTGATAATATTAAATACTGACCAGATCCCAAAAGATACTCTAAATTCTTTGGCATAGGAGTGTGCGGCCAAATCGAATGCCAGTATTCTTCAGCCGAACGAGACGACGTCGCATCACTCGCAATAAGAGTAACCTGGAAATACAAATACCCTAGTCGTCATTTAACATTACATCTTAAGAGTTTTGTGATATAATTAAACATTAATAATGTGATAAAATGGAGCATTATGTTGCCTCATGAAGCACATAATAACTGTTGAAAATATTTGGATGAAAATATTATTGAAAGATGGAAGGAGCAAAGCTTACAAATAACACAGCTAATACAGAAAAACGAAGAAACTCCATTGCGGACTGCGATACTGAAGTGAGACACTAAATCATGGAGCGAAAGTGCTTCCTTATATAGATTGGTCTTCAGAATCAGGTTTCTAATTAAGGTATCGATTCATTTAAATTTGGAAAAAGTTTTCAGAAGTCTTTCCTATAGATTGCTGGTGTAATTGTTAGAGGAATCATAGAGAATAATGGAAATAATAAAGAATCACAATTAATAAGTTCGTATAATTATTTTTCATCGGTGCAAATTAAAATTTTGATCTAGCATTGTGTACATACTTTATTTTTTAAAATCAATTAATAATTTTTTTTAAAATTAGAATGGCGGGCACCAACGAGCTAAAGTTATAAGCAGAATGGAATCTGCCATCTCCCACTTATAGAAGAGTTTTCAAATTTGAGGCTTGTTTTATACTTTAAGAATATCATTTAACAATATTATATTTTAATCATGTATTGGTCATCTTAAATAAAAAAACCATAATTTTAAAAAATTAATTTCAAATAATAAAAAATTAAAGTGTAAACAAATAATACTAAATTTTAATTTCAAAACTCAAAATACTCGCACTCTCTCTCTCTCTACTCTTTTGTTAATAAATCAAATTCCTAGCGGTGTTCCCACAAATAAATTTTGCAATTTTGCCTATAATCCTTAATAATAAATTTTGCCTATAGCCTATAGTTTACACTTATATAAGCTACAAGTTGTGTTCAGCCATAATTTAGGCTTGCTACTTCTGGTCCCATTTTCTATATTATTATACTATCTCTTGTACTAAATATAAGAGCTATTTCGTAGTCTTAAATATAAGATCTCAATCCATTTTGTCTCCCAAATTTGTAATGTATTCTTGAAAACATCCCTATTGATTGTAAGGTATTTCTACCAACTGTAGTTCCAATGTACATAATTAAATAAGGGTAATTTAAGGAAATCAACACACATTCGTTACAAATAACTAACTTAACTAATTTTTTTAATTTCCTCAAATTAGTTATCTAACTCTTATATTAAGGACTTGAGGTAGTATGTTACATATTTCTTTTGTCTCGTGTGTCTCGCGTTTCTCATGGGATCGATAAGAACCAAATGATAAATGAATTGCTATTAGAGACTTCAAATTGGCATGACTTTAAACAAGGAAAAGCAATTCATCACAAGAAGAGATCTTACTTATATTATAAAGGGATTTTATTAATGTCATGTAAGAGGTCTGACACAAAGTTTAAAATATGTAGATTTCCAAAACCATGTTCAAGAGATTTTACATAGTTTTAAAGAGGACCTGCCTAGATTGTACAGGTGGTAAAATTCCCTTTGCTATTATTGAGTTAGGTGAAAGAAACTTGACACCACTTTTTATACAAATTTAAAATCTTTACTTACAACAAATATTGTTGCGTTAGACAAATTCCTGGTGGTGGCATAACTATAGAAGCATATTTTTGTGAACGTGCAAAGTATCACGGCCCCACATTCTGGTTCAGACTAATTAAGTAGTTAAATACTATGTACGATATAAGACCTAACTGACTAATTTGAAGAGGTTAATGAAGTCACTAAATTACTTAATTATAGCATATGTTATATGACCTCTCTAAAATACTTCCATATATTATTATATTATTTACCAAGTTATAAGTTAAACAGATTAGTTGAGAGAAAAACAATAAACATAAATACTTTAAAGTAATTTATTAGTTTCCTTAATTTTTTTAAATTAATTAATTGGGTCTTATATTAAATACCGGAGGTAGTATTAGCCCAGTGGAGCAAATTTAAGTGAACATAGATGTGACCAACGTATAATGATAAGAAACAAGATAACTAATTGACAGATAAAAGTATCACCATTATAATTTTTTTTCTTTTAAAAGTAAAAGTTTAGGTGTATTATAGAACGAAGTACCAATATGAAATTTCATACGCTTGGAGTTTTGCTTTTTATTATTGGTTCATAATAAATCTAAGAAACGGCAAACAAGGTCATAGAACTGATGCTTTTATTACATATAACACACATACATTATATAACACACAAATATTATAAGAGTACACAACAGCACAACACTAGAACACATAGGGTCACAAGGTTTTACATAGTGATGCTTTTATTTATAAGTCGTAAACCAAATTAAAGAGACTAGCCTAGCTTGCTTAGTAAGCAGCGTTGAGCTTGTTGTTTCTTGGAACCCATGAAATGGTTCCTGAGCCCAAGAAATGGCAAACTGGCACTGTTCCTGGCTTGACCTTGAGTTGACGAAACAACTTATGGGGTTCCACAGCTCTTGTATCACAGTGGCAAATAGCCACAATGCTTGTTCTTGTGCCATCAGTGGTTTTCATGGGAACTATGCAAGTAATTGTTGCATTCACTTGATGACAGTAAAACGTAGGCTTGTCGAAATTCAACTTGTGACACATCACTTCTTAACTAGAAACCTTCTGTACGCCCGCCAATATTGAGTAATGAGTTTGATGAGGCACAAAGGAGCTTGTGAGTGCTTCAATGTCCTTTCCCAACTTTGAAATGACGAAATCAAGTAATGATTCTACAGACTCTGCACAAAACTTGTCATCTTCTCCAAGAAACCTTTCCTCATTGCAAGCTGCTTCCAAGCTTAAATTCTGAGGCTCATTTGCCATTGTGTTTCTTGACTTCTCAATGTCCTTTTTGTTTCTTATCCATATATAAATTCCCTAAGGTTGAGTAGGGCTTGACTTCTGTGTGTCATCATCCATTGTGTTTTTCCTTTTCCACGAACCGACACCCCAAGGTTGAGAAGATGAAGACTTCTGTGAATCCTCCTTATCATTTCTTGTATTAGCGTAAGGGGGTTTGAATTTTATGTTCATTTGTTTGCCAGCATATGAAGGTCGTCTTCAAAGAAGCTGGTTTAGGGATATTGGGTATCTTTATTTTCTCCGTCGTCCATTCCTTTCATTTCAAGCATCCCCAAATGAGTCTTCGGTTTATTAAAGATATCATAAAAACATAAGAAAAAATGAGTGCATTACAAATAGTGGGAAAAGATACTGAATCATCAAGGTACGATCATTTTTTGACATTAACGTGTATATATATTCATAAATATTATAGGGAATAAGAGTTGGGTAGGAAAGGTGGGTAGATATACGGTATTTAAATCTTTTTAATCCTTAAAAAAAAAAAAAGCAAAATTAATTCGTCAATCCTTATAATTCACGGTATTTTTAATCAAGCGTTGTAGTTTCTCTATTAGGTACTTACAGTTCCCTCAATTATAGGCGTTAGCCCCTATGCTCATAATTTGTTGATTGGGGCTTATGTTGATATTGATCAACGGCTTATTTGGTATGAGAGGGGAGGAGAGAATGGAGGGTAAAAGGCATTTTGCTCTCCTCTTCTTATTTGGATTGCAAAAAATTTTGGGAGATGAGGAAATTTTTTTTTAAGATTTCCCTCATCTCCCCTTATAACCCTCCCCTCCCAAATTGGGAGATTTGGAAGGAAAGGATAATATTTTAGCTTACTCAAACTAATATGCCTATAATTAGTTTTTAATATCTTTATATTACCTTTCTTATCTTACATCACATGGAAAAGAGATGATGATTGTTGCCCTCTTATAAAATCACATATCAGATCATAAAAAATTTCTCCCTTTCTCTCTCCCTTTAACAATCCAAACAAGGTAATATTAAAATTCTTCTCCTCCCTTTTCTTCCCTTTCTTTTCATGAAAATCCCCCCGGGGCTGAACATGCCCTATGTGACATGTAAATACATTATTATTGTCATAACTAGGGGTGGAAATAGGCCAGGCGGCCTATCAGGGGCCTGTGGCCTGGCCTGTAAATGGCCTGGCCTGGCCTGGCCTATTTAACCACCAGAACAGGCTCAGGCCTGTGAAAAGGCCTGTTTATCTTATCAGACCAGGCTCAGGCCTGATAATAAGCCTGTTAGGCCTGTCAGGCGGCCTGAGCCTGTTTTCTTTTTTTATTTTTTATTTTTTTATTTTAAGGTTAAAATTGTAATTTTACAAGGGTTAGAAATTTAACCTAAGTCACTACTCTCCCAAGTCCCAATCTTCTTCGGCTCGTTCGTTTCTGTTTCGGCTCGTCAGTCCCAAACTCCCAATCTCCCGTTTCTTCTTTGGTTCTGGACGGTCAGTCCCAATGTCTCGTTTCCGTCTCCCATTTCCTTTTCGGCACTCAAGAGTCAAGACCTCACTTCGTCCTTCCAGTTCCAAGGTTCTCTACTCTCCAGTTGGCGCTCGGCAACGGAAAACAGCAGACGGCAGAAATCAAAAGGTAGTCGACGGCGGTGCACGGGCTGACAGCGGCACATTCAAGTACCCAATAGCTAATCGCACACGCTTCCCTTCTTCCCTCCTTCTTCCATTTTGTTCTTCGATTGATCGCTGCGTTTTTAATTCCGTCGTCGTCTCATCGATGTAAATCTGCTGCCTCTGCATTTTTGATTCCGTGACTGTGTTTTTTATTCCATTTTGTCAAGCTCTGCCTATTGATTCTTTCATGTAGGCTCTGACTTCTGATCTGCCGACGCCATTTTGATTCCATTTTGTCAAGATCTGCCAACAAGTAAGTCGAGTGTTGTAGCCTTCTTATCTGTTATGCTTTGAATTTAATCCAAAAAAAACTTGCCTGAATTTTAGCCATTAATTAAATTTGTATAATTAAAAAATTTGCCCTGATGTTGTTGTATTTGGTTCTGATAAGTTGGTTTGTGATTGATATATAGGTTGGAGTCATTATTAGTTTGCTGTTATGATCTAATATATATATTTGATGTCTTCTTCTCAGGAGTTTGAATAAGAAGAAGAAATTGTGTTGAAGATTTAATGCTTTACAGTTGGATGATTTGTTGTAATTGTAACAAGAACAATTGTGTTAATTTGGTTATTTCATATTTCTTGTTTGTATTTTGGATAATTTGGATTAAGTTATTGTAATTTTGAAAGGATTTATTTATGTTTACAATTTGTTAAAAATACAGGCCTCTTAACAGGCCACAGGCCAGGCCAGGCCTATAAACAGGCCAGGCTTAGGCCAAATAAAAGGCCTTTCACAGGCCACAGGCCAGGCTCAGGCCAACAGGCCTCATCACAGGCCTGGCCTGGCCTGGTCTGTTTCCACCCCTAGTCATAACCATCTCCTTACAATATCTAGATCAGCACCTATAATTGAGAAAACTACAAGGATCCAATAAAAAAAAAAAAGGAACCCAACAAAAGAGAAAAACTAAAAAATTAAAAATAAGGTGTAATCATAAGTACTTCGATATCAATTTTATAAAAAAAATTCTTTCTATTGAAGAATTAACACAAAATAATCAAAGAGGTTTGCCCCAATTAATTTTTTCGTCCGAAACGTCTTGGATGCAAAGAACTTGTGGAGGCCGTTGCCAAAATTTTAAGAGGAAACAAAATTAAAGTTTCTATCATAATTTATCTCTTGGAAAACTAATTTAGATGTCTTATAGTTTGCCCCAATTTTGAATCAGGTCCCTACATTTTTTTTCCTTCTTTATTGGATCCTTTAACTTTATATTAGTTAGATTTGTTAGACCCTGCACTTAGGTAAACACTAACGGTGTTAAAAACTATCGTTACCTATCTCCTTCCCCTGTAAACCCAAAAAGTTTCAGAGCAAAACTCTCCTTCCTGATTTGTTGTTCGTTCTTTGTTCATTGCTTAATATCTTCATTCATTCCTCCTTTGTTCTACTATTGAAGCAATTACGGTGATTATGGCTGCATCTAACCGCCGGTGGCTACTTCTTGTTTTTCTCATTGAAATTCTGCACCATTTTCAGCAAGCAAAGTGAACTTAGCTCGAACTCCGATCATCCTCCATTTCTGTTGCACAAGTATTCATTGTTGGCGATGAGTTTCTCCAATGAGAAATTCCTCAACACACTCAGAGATTGCTTCTCAAAGATGAACAACCTTCTTAGCCACAACTTCAACACTAGCTTTCCTGAATCATTTCAAACCACCGCTTTCCTGAGCTTTCAAGGAATGTAGGTCAATGGGTTGATCTTAATCGAAGGCATGGCTGAGAGAAGTACTAAATTTGTGCAGTTTTACTCCATTTTCAGAACTCCAATGAATATGAATTTACGGGAAAAAAAACGTTGTCACAATTACAAGTGGAAGCCAAAACCAAATGATAAAATTCTTTTCTTTTTCAGAAAACTCATGGAGGCTACTAAAACAAGAAAACTACAGTCACCATCTACCATTCCTGTTAGCTACAAAAAATACATAAACAAAATCAAAGAATCAAGCAAAATTTTCACCATTCGAAATTGCAATTCATCACCAAAGCGAGATGGAAAACTCCACCGGAATTTGGGTAGGAGCGAGAAATCTTTGCTTTCCCGCAAGCATAGAATAAGCATGGAAAAACTTGCAGAGCAGGTGAGAGAAGAAGAAAATGGCTTTGAGCTCAAGGTTTTCAGAGGACATTGGACGAAGGTTAATTGGAGAGAGGAAAATAATTTGCCAGAAAGTCCAATTCTTCAATGAGGAGATCATGATCAAAAGGTAAGGTAGCTATATGGAGTAAGTGACTAGGGGTTAGATTTTAGATTTATCAAAAGGAGGCAGCGCAAATGCGATATTGTAGATGACCGGGAGATATGAAGTGGCAGAGACTACTTGGGGAGCGGGGCATATACTATAGCACCTTACTTGAGGTCAGAATGAGTCTGAAAAATTTACCATGAAAAAATAAAAAAACATATAATAAAATTATTTAATGGTAACAGTAACACCATCAATGTTTACTTAATAGTTTTTAATTTTAAGGACTAACAGATCTAACGGTGTAAAGTTAAAAGACTCCATAAAAAGGAAAAAAAAAGTTTAGAGACCTAATTCAAAATTGAAATAAAAAACTATAAGGATCTCCAAATTAGTTTTTTCTTTATCTTTTCCTCCACTCTTTCTTCTTCATTATTCTTGCCTCTGATACTATAAGATCAGCTGATTTTAATCCGTTAAAAACAGGGAACTCGAATAAAGATATGAGAATTTTAAGTACTAAGTACTCACCAAATCCCAAAAGATACTCTAAATTCTTAGGCATCGGAGTGTCTGGCCAGATTGGATGCCAGTATTCTTCAGCCGAACATGACCACGCCCCGTCACGTCCACCAAGAGCAAACTAAAAATTTATCCAAAGCAAATCATGCATAACGAAGGCACCATTTGGCTTTATGAAATATTAGGCCCTGTTTGGTATGTAGTACTCCTCCTATCCTTAATATAAAACCTATTAGGAAAATTAATCTTTTGGTCCTTGAAGTTTTAACTCATTTATAATTTAGTCTTTTAACTATGACTCGGTGTAATTCGGTCCCTTAACTTTTGACTCACCTATAACTCAATGCCTAATCTTTTTACATTTAATAATTTAATCTTTATTACATACAATTTACTTTTATTCCCCAAATAATTATCCTACATGGCAAAAAATATTAATTAACATCATTAAAAAATAAAAATGTGTCTTCCAACTTAGCTCCTGTATGATACTATCCAATCGGAGTCCTCCGCCATTTTCTCCGGCGGCATCTCCTTCCTTTGCTTCTTCACCCTCATCGCTGGCAAAGTCCTCAGCACATGGTGCCCAGCTCAAGCCCCGTCTTCTACTTTTCCTCCTAATACAATGTGTAGAAACACAGTAATAGACTCTTAACGTTTGCGTTTTATCTTGGAAAGTTGCCATAATGAGCAAGAGAAGGTATGACCCAATGTGTGAATTGCAGTGTCTGTATAAAAGGGACGACATCTTCACTGGAGGAGAGAAAGCAAAGCGTAGAAAAAAAATATGGTAAGGAATATTAGTGAGATTGAGAGGTGGGCCATAGGCTTTCATGAAGTCGCTGGAAGTATCTAAGCAGCTTCAATTCAAATGAACATTTTCAATAGGACGTGCCTTTAACTCGGCCTTTATTTGGGCCTTCCTTCCATTTGAGGCGGCACCATGAAGAATCAATCAGTGGTTGGGTGGAGAAGCCAACGATGAGGCTGAAGAAGCAGAGAAAGGAAACGCTGCCGGAGAAAATGGCGGAGCAGTCCGATTGCATGGTATCATACAGGAGCTGAGTTGGAAGACACATTTTCATTTTTTAATAATGTTAATTAATATTTTTTGCCATGTAGGATAATTATTTGGGGATTAAAAGTAAATTCTATGTAATAAGGATTAAATTATTAGATGTAAAAAGATTACAGACTGAGTTATAAGCGAGTCAAAAGTTGAGGGACTAAGTTACACCGAATCATAGTTAAAGAACTGAGTTATAAGTGAGTTAAAACTTCAAGGACCAAAAGATTAATTTTCCCAAACGTATTTAACTAATTTGATTAGATTAAAAAAGTTAGATAAGTTAGTTAAGTATAACAAATATGACATGTTTTTTCTAAAATATCTTAATCATTTTCATTATATCCTTCCTCCCTCTCATACTTGATTGTGATTGAGGGAGTATCATTAGGGATGATTTGGGAAAAATTGATAGATATAAGAAATAGGTATTATATTTAGGATCAAAATCAACTCTACAATTAAGTCCTATAATAACGACCGGAGGAGTGTTAAAATTCAAAGGAATGGAATTGGGATTGGGACTCATGTTGGGATTAAATTGTAAAGTTATGTTCGGCATGCGATAGGATTGGTCATGGGATCTTATCTTCATCATTTGGTCCAATAAGCCAGCTTTGATGGGTCTCGTCCAATAATGGCTGAGACAGCACAACCCAATCAAAATCCTGCAGGTTCCAGCTCCAACCAGCTCCGCCAATAGAGGATCTAAGAAAAGTGAAGAATGAAGACGATGAAGATGTTGGAAGCAACGAGAGAGAGAGAGAGAGACGATTATAGTAGTATTAGTTAACTGGGGCGAAGTGATAGACCCAGCAAGCAAGGCAATACGTATACACAATCACGCTACAAATATACGATTCTCTCTCTCTCTCTGGACTAAGAAAAAAGTGAAGACGATGCAGGCTGAGGCTAAGAAAAAGCTCATGTCAGACGACCAAAGACCAGATCGGGGATAGAGGAGAAAGTGACCGGAGACGGAGGAGAAGGCACGGAAAGATGGAAGAGGTGGACTTGACGGGGGACAGATCTAGGTTGACGATTGGAGAATGGGAAAGAGAGGGCATTTTTGTATGAAAAAATCCAGGATTAAATTTCCAATACCACCTCACAAATGTCGTTCTCCCGTCTCACCGTCCCACCTACATAGATCTATCTAATCTCAAGTATTAAGGACCAGAGTTACTTGGTGTTTTTGGCCTGCACGATTTCTGGTTATACTATGAAATTACTATCAACTATCATCAATCATCCATCAATCAATCATCAACTATATTTTTGAAAACTTGTAATACCTTATTCCTTTGAAAATGGGTTGGGTATAAAATTACAGGATCCGAATATATTCAATTAATAAGATTTAAATAACACCTTGATTGAGTTTTGAATAGATTGAATTAAATGAAAAACATTATAAATAAATGCAATTTCAAATGGAGGCTCAAATAAAGAAATTAATAATTAATTTTATATTTGAATAATATCTTAATTGGGATTTGAATATATGAAATTAAATGGAGGTATCATAATTAACTAGTATGTCAAGTGGAGGTTTAAATAGAGAAATAAATAATTAATTTCAAAATTTTATCTATTTCCCATAAATTTTGCATTTCTAATTCAAATTCTATTAAAATGAATTAAAAGATATACTTCTGTTAGAAGTAAATTTTTAGCTACCTTAGATAATGTAATTTATTAAAATTTTAAATCTAATCAAATATGTTAATATGCGCATCATACGGGGAGAAATTTCTAGTTATTATTGAAAAGAAGAAACTTGTCCATACAAATAAGCTAATATACGTTATAATCTATCATCAATAAGGTTTTTGACCTTTGTCACCACTTGCACGGTTGGACTTTTTTTTTTTCCCCCTTTTATCAAAATCGATTTTTTTATTTTGTATTTCAGTTGGTTCGATTTATTTGGATTTGGATTTATATTTGTTACTAGTCATTGTTAACAATAATGAATTAATTAAGTACTATCTCAACGAGGAAAAGTTTTTGCGATTCTAGATTTTTGTTTCCTGTGTGAGAAACCAATTTACATTTGTTTCTTTCTTATTTTGACCTTTTAATTAATTGATTAAATGCTTACAATATTATGTCACTGGCACGTCCCTCTTAAAAATGACGTTAAAAATCTTCGTCCAAGTAAAAAACCAATTTACATTTATTACTTTCTTGTTTGGATGTTTTAATTGATTTAGTTCGATAATATATTTGGTCTCCCTTTAAATGACACTCCTCCATTGCTCTCTCTCTCTCTCTCTTTTTTTCTTTGGATAAGGTAAAAGCATCAAACTAGACTAGCTACCAGACGACGTTCCATACATGTGCAATTCAGAAAAACCCTACTGGTCCATCTCGGAGGAAAGCAGTTTGCTGCACTTGAATTGTGGATCCAAGATGCTTGCTCATTAATTATGGGGTGGGATTATCTCTTCCAAAAATTCCAAATTAGAATTAGATGGTCTTAAAATCTTTTATTAATTACATCAAAGAACGTTGTGTTGGACGAAATCCGATCCTGGTAGTTTAGGTTTTAATGTTTAGGTGGGTTCTAGAATAAAGTGCCAATTTCAAATGTCAAACACCTCATTTGTTCCAAGATCGTCACTGTTCTTTTTCTTCCCTAATTTCCAATATGGTGTTTCAATCTTGAAATTTGCTGAACTAAACTCAGATCACAATCATCCAATTAATGCATATATGACCTGATGATCGTCATCTATTTAATTTCTAATATACGAAATTCAATTAATTAACCAAATGTTGTAATTTGTATAATTATTAATTATTCTTTCACTTGATAACATCATTCCGGTTGTACAAGTATGTCACCTGGGGTTGTATAGTGCTCATGGAATCTCAAAATGTGACCAAACATATATAGTCTTCACTGTTGCGAGATGTTGTTCTAACTAAAAACAAGTCTTCAAATACTGTATCAGACTTTGACGCTATAGAACAAGGAGTTTGGCTTTTTTAATTATTGGTTTGCTAGAAAACTAAGAAATGGCAAACTGGATTATAGAATTAGATGTTTTTATTACATATAAAACACACACCATATAACACAGTAACATTACACAGTTTTATTTAGCACACACAAACACCAGAATACTTAGGGTTACAAAGTGTTCTATAGTGATGCTTTATTTATAAGTCGTAACCCCAAGAGACTAGTCATATCTTGCATGCCTAGTAAGCAGCCTTAAGCTCATTGTTTCTTGGAACCCAAGCAATAGCTCCTGAGCCCAAGAAATGGCAGACTGGCACTGTCCCTGGCTTGACCTTGAGTTGATGAAATAACTTATGGGGATCCAAACCTCTTGTATCACGGTGGCAAAGAGCCACAATGCTTGTTGTCGTGCCATCAGCAGCTTCCATGGGAACTATGTAAGTGATTGTTGCATTCACTTGATGACAGTAAAATACAGGCTTCTCAAAATTCAACTTATGACACATCACTCCTTCACTTGAAACCCTTTGTGCACCCTCTAATATTTTGTATTGAGTTTGATGAGGCACAGAGGAGCTTGTGAGTGCCTCAATGTCCTTTCCCAACTTTGAAATGACGAAATCAAGTAATGATTCGACAGACTTTGCACAAAACTTGTCATCTTCTCCCACAAATTTTTCCTTAGCATTGCATATTGCTTCCAAGCTTAAATTCTCATGTTCACTGACCATTGTTTTTCTTTTCCATGAACCTACTCCCCAAGGTTGAGGAGATATTGATGACTTCTTTGAATCTTCATTCATTATGTTTCTTTTCCATGAACCAACACCCCAGGGTTGAGGAAATACTGATGACTTTTGTGAATCTTCGTTCATCGTGTTTCTTTTCCACGAACCGACACCCCAAGGTTGAGGAGACACTGATGACTTTTGTGAATCTTCGTTCATCGTGTTTCTTTTCCACGAACCGACACCCCAAGGTTGAGGAGACACTGATGACTTTTGTGAATCTTCGTTCATCGTGTTTCTTTTCCACGAACCGACACCCCAAGGTTGAGAAGATACTGATTTGTCCGAATCTTCATTCATTGTCATTCTTTTCCATAAACCAACACCCCAAGGTTGAGGAGATACTGATGACTTCTCTGAATCTTCGTTTGTGTTTCTTTGCCACGAACCAACACCCTAAGGCTGAGGAAAGACTGACAACTTCTTTGAATCGTCATTTGTGTTTCTTTGCCATGAACCAACACCCCAAGGTTGAGGAGATACTGATGACTTCTCTGAATTTTCGTTCGTGTTTCTTTGCCACGAACCAACACCCCAAGGCTGAGGAGATATTGATGACTTCTTTGAATCTTCATTCATTATGTTTCTTTTCCATGAATCAACACCCCAGGGTTGAGGAGATACTGATTTGTTCAAATCTTCATTCACGGTCATTCTTTTCCATGAACCAACACCCCAAGGTTGAGGAGATACTGATGACTTCTCTGAATTTTCGTTCGTGTTTCTTTGCCACGAACCAACACCCCAAGGCTGAGAAAATAGTGATGACTTCTCTGACTCTTCATTTGTGTTTCTTTGCCATGAACCAACACCCCAAGGTTGAGATACTGATGATTTCTCAGAATCTTCATTCATTATGTTTCTCTTCCATGAACCAAAACCCCAAGGTTGAGATACTGATGATTTCTCTAAATCTTCATTCATCATGTTTCTTTTCCATGAACCAACGCCCCAAGGTTGAGAAGATGAAGCCTTATTTGCATCTTTATGCATAGCATCATTAGCGTAAGGGCTGTTGAATATCATGTTCATTTGTTTGCCAGGATGTAGGTCGTCTTCAAAGAAGCTGGTATAGGGATATTGGGTATCTTTATTCTTTGCATCTGTCACACCTGTGACGCATTCCCAAATGAATGTTTGTTAATTAAAGATATATCATAGAAACATAAGAAAGCATGCATACATTATAAGTGGCGGGAAAAGATCTTGACATTAAAAAAAATCTTTTTTATTGGAGAACACAATAATAATAGGAGAAATTCTTAGGTGCATCCAAAGCAGAGCACCACATCATTCATGCACTGCCTAATAAAATCACAACATATCAGAGGTCTCTATCCTACATGTCAACTTAGCTGGCAGCTTTTTGAATCCCGATTTTCTCTCTTCCACTTTCCAAATTTGCTTAAAAAACTTATTTCCGTTAGATTCGTTCCAACAAATAACTTTTTCTTTTGGGCTCAGGGTAGAAATAGGCCAAGCGGCCTGTCAGGGGCCTGGCCTGTCAGGGGCCTGGCCTGTAAATGGCCTGGCCTATTTAGATATCAGAACAGGCTCAAGCCTGTAAAAAAAACTTGTTTACTTTATCAGGCCAGGCTCAGGCTTGATAGTAAGCCTGTTAGGCCTGTTAGGCGGCTTGAGCCTATTATCTTTTTTTTTTTTTAAGTTAAAATTGTAAATTGACAGGAGGGAATCTGCTATTCTGATTGGTTAATTGAGAAAACTCCACCCACATAAACGTGTTATCTAGAGCCTATTTCATACTTCATTTCATTTTCATTCTCTATAATAAAAATAATTGATGTATGTATAATGACACATATTTGAACAAAGAAAGAAAACATAAGTGCATTAAAAAAAAATGAAACCATCATTTATTTATTTGATCCATACTTTTCATATTAATCTTATATAGAATATATATAAATATATATATATATATATATAGAATTGACCTATTATGTTTTAGACTGTATATTTGTGTGCTCAATCTAATTCTTATTATAATAGTTGCTTAATTAATTTAAATAAATAAATAAATTACAATAAATGTAACATTTTTTTAAAAAAACAACCATATGTAATAACAAGATCAAATATCATTTTGTTAGTAAATTAGTTTAAATAAATGATAAATTTAAAATATAAAAGGGATTAAGGATGTTTCATATTTTAAACTAGATCTAGTCACCAACTAATTTTTATACTAAAGATGGGATGGAGTGGTATTTTATATCAGAGTGAAATTATGTTTTCTAATAATTTTTCATATTAGATTTTTTTTGGGCCTAAGGGGACATGTTTTACAATTGTGTTAATTTGATAATTTCATATTTTTGTTTGTATTGAATTATTGTAATTTTGAATTGATTTATGTGTGTTTAAAATTTGTTAAAAAAAACAGGCCTCTTAACAAGCCACAGGCCAAGCCTGATTATAGGCCAGGCTCAGGCCGATTAAAAAGCTTTCACAAGCCGCAGGTCAACAAGTCTCACCACAGGCTAGGCCTGTTAAGGGTGAGACTTGGTCTGACCTAGCCTGTTTTCATCTCATCCACCCTGATTCAACCTGCCGGCTAAAGCACCCCCCCTTCTCTCACGCCCAAGACACAAAACAGAGAACACACACACACAACAACAAAAAGCCTCACTGTATCTCTTTAATTATGTATGGCTTCATCTTCCGCGTGTCTCGTGTTTCCCTTTTTTAAAGATCGGCAGCGTGTCTCGTGTTTCTCATGTGTCTCGTGGAACTAAAAATTGGCCCCATTTTAATTTATATATTTTGTGGTTTTTAAACATTTTACTTTCTCCTGTTCTTATTTTAAACTTAAAATGAATAACAAATAATTAACTGAATATACTTAAATATAATAACTGAACATTAAGACGTGGGAACTCCATTATTACAGATTATGTGAAGAGAAGAAAAATTAGCAGTGAAGAAGCCGCACTGAGAATCATTAATTATAGTACTGTGGGATTAATTATGATGGGTCATTGATTCGAGTAATTAAAGGCGAGAGGGGCAACATATAAAGCTTTAATGAATGTACCCATATTACGAGAAGATGTAACAGGGACACACAGGTGGAACTCATGCAAGGCTTCTTCCTCATCGGCACCGTTTCACTGTAAGAAACCTAGCCGATGAAATTAATGTTTCAACGTCGACATTTATGACACCCATGCATGATACCGATTACGAGGACGACAGACAAATGGAAATCATGCAAAGGTTTAATTTCTTCCTCACTGCCTATATCTGAGTGATGTTAAAACTCTTGCACAATTAATGGCTACACACTATCCAAAGTACCTAACTGACGTTATACTTTATTCGGTTCAAAATATAAGAACTAGTTGAAGATTGAATTTGATCATAAATATAAGACTCTGATTCACCTTGTTTCTAACATTTATCTATTTTATTCCCAAGTAATCCCTAAAGTGATTACATATATTAATGATTTTTATTAAATGGAAGTTCCAATGCATATTATTAATAGGAGTATTTAAAAAAAGACAATATCTGTAATTTCTGCAAATTAATTATCTACCTCTTACATTAAGAACTATAGATAGTATTTTTCTGTAGTCTTGGCCTTCAAATGCTCTTTGGTTGTACGTTGAGGTTCAAGGCAATGTTGTATTGCTGAATCTTTACAGGTACTTTGTAAGTAATGAGTGTTCTTTTAGCTATAAGACTTGTTTTGACCTTAATGAACCTATTCACCAGGGACAAAGCCACGTTGGCAAAAACACGTAAGCTAATGAGAAACAGTTACATGTGATGAAACGAACACATGTCTCTGTTATTGATATTTTCTGCAGCACCAAGTTACGAGGCGGAATCCACGCAAAGGTTCTTCATGTTTGAGGCTTGAATGTGAAAATTGTCTGGGTCTCTGTTTCTGAAACCGATTAGTACAGGAACTCATCTTTATATGTTTTAGCTTCATCAACTTTCAAAATCAGTACGTTAAAATTCTGGACGGTCCACGTTACTTATCGAGTGATGAGCGCTAGGTTCTCATCACTAGATGAGCACCAAAACCGGGTCATACCACTTCCCTTGATGCTCGAATGAAATATATGGCTGCTAAACAAACACACACATATGAACCACATTTTGTGATTTTATATATATAGGACTCTTGGAAATCTCAAAATGTGACCTTACATATATATATATATATATATATATAGACTTCGCTGTTGTGAGATGTTTCTAATTAAAAATTAAGCTCTATCCTTTTTGGGTTCTAGTTATGTAACGTGGCCTTGATCTTCAAGTACTGTTTCATAATCGGGGCCTCAAGGTAAGGAGTTTTGCTCATTATTGGTTAGTCAGAAAACTGAGAAATGACAAGCAAGGTTATAGAATTAATGCTTTTATTATATATAACACATACATTTATTACTTAACATGCCAACATCTCATATAGATAGTTTTATCTAAGCACATAACACACTAGTTTTATCTAAGCACATAACACACTTGTACACACATATATGGGGTTACCGGCTACAAAGCGTTAAAGAGCGTGATGCTTTTATTTAAAAGTCGTAACCCACCAAAGCTAGAGACTAGCCTAGCTTGCTTAGCGAGAAGCCTTAAGCTCGTTATTTCTTGGAACCCAAGAGATAGCTCCGGATCCCAAGAAATGGCAAACTGGCACTGTTCCTGGTAGGACATTGAGTTGATGGAACAACTTATGGGGATCCATACCTCTTGTATCACGATGGCAAAGAGCCACTATATTTGTTCTCGTGCCATCAGCAGCTTTCATGGGAACTATGTAAGTGATTGTTGCATTCACTTGATGACAGTAAAACACAGGCTTCTTGAAATTCAACTTGTGACACATCACACCTTCACTTGAAACCCTCTGAACACCCTCCAATATTGTGTACTGAGTTTGATGAGGCACAAAGGAGCTTGTGAGTGCTTCAATGTCCTTCCCCAACTTTGAAATGACGAAATCAAGTAATGATTTCACAGACTCTGCACAAAACTTGCCATCTTCCCCAACAAACCTTTCCTTAACATTGCATATTTCTTTCAATCTTAAACTCTTAGGCTCATTATTTACCATTGTCTTTCTTTTCCACGTACCGACTCCATAAGGTTGATTTAAACTTGACTTGTCAACATCCACTGTGTTTTTTTTCCACGTACCGACTCCATATGGTTGATTTAGGATTGACTCTTTATCATCCACCACGCTTCTTTTCCATGTACCAACTCCATAAGGTTGATTCAAGCTTGACTCTTTATCATCCACTGTGCTTCTTTTCCACGTACCGACTCCATAAGGTTGATTCAAACTTGACTCTTTATCATCCACTGTGCTTCTTTTCCACGTACCGACTCCATAAGGTTGATTCAAGCTTGATTGGTCAACATCTACGGTGCTTCTTTTCCATGTGCCAACTCCATAGGGTTGATTCAAGCTTGACTCATCATCATCCCCCGTGCTTCTTTTCCATGTACCAACTCCATAGGGTTGATTCAAACTAGACTTTCTATCATCCACTATGCTTCTTTTCCATGTACCGACTCCATAGGGTTGATTTAAGCTCAACTCGTCAACATCCACTGTGCTTCTTTTCCATGCACCAACTCCATAAGGTTGATTCAAGCTTGACTTGTCAACATCCATTATGTTTCTTTTCCATGTACCAACTCCATAAGGTTGATTCAAGCTTGACTTTTTTGATAAAACATTCCAAGATTGAGAAGATAAGGACTTCTCTGGATCTTTCTCCACAATATCAATTTTCTGCTCCTCATTAGCATAAGGGCTCTTGAATATTATGTTCATTTGTTTGCCAGCGTGAAGGTCTTCTTCAAAGAAGCTGGTATAGGGATATTGCGTATCTTCTTTCTCTGCATCGTTCACACATTTGACGCATTCCCAAATGAATATTTGTTAATTAAAGATATAATACTCCTCTGGTCCTTATTATAAGACCCAATTTGACTTTTTATTTGGTCCTAATTATAAGACCCAATCCATTTTCTCTCTTATATTTATGCATTTTTTTTCAAGATAATCCTTCTAATAATGATAGTTTTAGCCAATATACTTAATTAGCAAGGATATTTTAGGAATAACAACACTTATTTATTATAAATAACCAACTTAACTTACTTCCTTAATCTCCTCAAATAAGTCATTGGGTCTTATAATTAGGACCGGAGAGTAGAACCATAAAAAACATGCATGCACTATAAATGGTGAGAAACCTTTGGAATCATCAACATCGTGTTTTGAAATTAACGATGGTATATTCATCAATATTATAAGTAGTAAGGATAGAGTAGGTAAGATGAATGGAGGTATAGGATTTAAATCCTTTTCATTTAAGGGGGAAAAAAATCTTTTTATTGAAGAACACCAAATAATCACATAGGTTCATTTAATTAATTTTTTCATGGTATTATTAACACATGAATATTTCGCATACATATGCCTATATCCAAAAAAAATTTTCATGGTATTATTAACACATGAATATTTCGCATACATATGCAAAGAAATTGTGGAGGTGATGTTTCATTCCCCAATTTTTTTGCAGGGGAAAAATTGAAGTTTATATAAATTTTTCTCTCCCCCCAAAAAAAAATTTCTTCATTCTTTCCTATAGATAATATTGTTGATATGGATCCGTTAAAAACATGGAATTGGAATAAAATGTGAGAATCTTAAGTACTAACCAGACCCCAAAAGATACTCCAAATTCTTAGGCATAGAAGTGTCTGGCCAGATTGAATGCCAGTATTCACGATTGGATGGGTAGAGATACAGGATTTGAGTCCTTTTAATGTTTTTTTTTGTTGAAAAAAATCTTTTTTATTGAAGAACACAATAATAATAGGAGAAATTCTTAGGTGCATCCAGAGCAGAGCACCACATCATTCATGCACTGCCCAATAAAATCACAACATATCAGAGGTCTCTATCCTACATGTCAACTTAGCTGGCAGCTTTTTGAATCCCGATTTTCTCTCTTCCACTTTCCAAATTTGCCGTCTCTCCTACTTTTTTTTTTTTCCCTGATTAACAGTCACATCGTCCTTCTCTCTCCCTTTCTCACAACACACAGGTCCCACACACTTCCGTATATCTCCGTCTCTAGCATCTGCTTATGGATCCCAAATCCCAGCTGATCATGCCCTCCCCCCTCCCGATTTCACCCCACTCATACACAAGCATCAACAGATTTTTGTGTTTTTCTTTTTCATTTGGATATTTTCAGCCTTTACAGGTAAATTTTTATAGCGAATGAAATTTCAAATTTATATTATTTTCATTTATAAAGTCTCATATTTTTGTTTATTTTTAAATTTAATTTGAATCAAAAGTAATATTAAATTTAAATAATAATGATAAATAACTTGAAATTTGGCATTATTTTGGTTTTAATTTCTAAAATTTAATTTAATTTGATTATTTTAATGATTTTTTATCTTTGAAATGGTTTTTTTACTTTTAGTCCAGCTAAAACAAAACCATTTCTTTCTTTTTTTTGCCTGAAAAAACAAAATCATTTCAAACACTAAAATTAAAATAAAGTGAAATTTCAAAAACTAAAATATTATTAACCCTTTTCCAATTAAATGATATTTATAAATTTTAAATAAATTGTATGAGAGAAAAGGTCATAAAAACATTTAATTTAGATATCTTTAACAGGAAGCAAAAGATGTGCATGTCTGTGTGGGACTTGTGAGATGTGGAAGGGAAGAGAGATTGGAAGAGAGAGAAGGACGATGTGACTACTGATCAGCAAAAAAGTAGGAGAGAGTCAGGAAATTTGTGAAGTGCAAGAGAGAAAATTGGGATTCAGAAAACTGCCAGCTAAGTTGACATGTAGGATAGAGATATCTGATATGTTGTGATTTTATTGGGCAGTACATGAATGATGTGGTGCTCGGGCTGACCCAAGAATTTCTCTAATCATAGGGGTTGATTTGCCCTGATAATAATGCCATTATCTAATTTTTAACCCATTTCTTAAGTAATGTCAAGAAAAATAAATTAAATTAAAATTATTTTTATATTTTATTTTAAAATCAAAATATTAATAAAAATATATTAACTTACAAACTAAAATAATTAAAAATTTTAAATGAAAATGAGGAACATAATAAATTAAGACTAGAATACAAAGAAATTTTAGAAAACATCAGGCTCCAAAATCTCTCCAACTTTTGGGGAGAAAATTTGGGGGTAAAACTACGTGGGCCCGATACTATTTTTCTCTCCTCACTTTTTTCTTCTCATATTTTCTCCTCTAATCTAAATAAGGGAATATCTATTCTCCCCCATTTTCTCACTTGCTTTTTTTCTTGTCCTGATTTTCTCTCCATCCAAATACACAATAAGAGTTACGTTTCTATAAATTTTCATTTTTTCCCCCCTCAACTCTTTCTCCTTCGTTACTTCCTTCAACACTGAAGAACATATTTGAACCCGTTAAAAGCATGAAATTTAAATAGAGATATGAGAATTTGAAGTACTAACCAGACTCCAAAAGATACTCTAAATTCTTAGGCAAGGGAGTGTCTGGCCAGATTGAATGCCAGTATTCTTCGGCCGAGCGTGACGATGTCGCACCACTCCCAGTAAGAGCAAACTGCAAATCATATTATTGCATAACGAAGCTGCCATTTAACTTTATGAAATATCTAAGAGTATTGTGATACATATACATATATATATATATATATATATAATATAACTAAAACATGCAAGAAGCTAATAGTATGAGTAGAAGCATTATTAACGTTTGCCTTCTGATGAAGAAAAGAAGCTTACACATAGCAGGAGAGCAAGAACACCAAAACGAAGCAGCCCCATAGAGAGAATTTGAAGTCTAGAACGAGCAAGTGAAGTGAGAGGCACTGAACCATTGAACCAAGTTGCTTCCTTTATAGAGACGGATTGGCCATTGTAGAATAATTAAGGGAAACACATGAATAACAATAATGAAACACGTGACAATAAGTTAGTTCAATAATTTAGCCTGAAAAAATATTGAAGTTTACATTTGGTAAATTAACTTTATATAACGTTCCAATTTGATCCGTTAATTTTAAAAAGTATATTTTTAATCTTTTAACTCTAAAATCATTAAGTTTAAATAATCAGTTTCTGTAATAATCATGGATAATTGTTTTGAAAATTAAACTTAATATATTAGCATTTAAAAATATTTTATCAATATTTAAGATCTCAATATCATTTTTTTTTAAAATAACTTTATGGTTAAAAGATTAAGAACTTTCTAAAGTTGATGGACCAAATTAAAACTTTGTATAAAGTTAAATGATCAAATATATATTTTAGCCATAAAAATATAAGAGATAATGTGAACTAAGATCATTTAGGAAAGACCAAATTCAACTTCCTAACTAGTTTTTCCATTTGTTCCTTTTTATAAGAAATAAATCTCTCTCATAGTAGTGTCCTTAAATATAAGAAACAAATTCTTTCTCTAAAATTTTAAATTGGTCTATCCACTTTGACCTCATAATATATGCCATTTATTATCCATGTAATAAATTTTTACTCATCATCTCTCATATATTTTTTCTTTACAAAATAAGATATAATTGAACAAATATGTACATAGCATTATTATACATGTTTATTGCTTTTACCTAAATATAACTAATATTTTAAATTGTGTGATTTTAATAGTTACTCCTCCGGTCCTTAATATAAGACCTATTTAACTAATTTGATAATATTAAGGAAGTTAGAGAAATTAGTTAATTATAAAAATATGACATATTTTTTTCTAAAACACTATAATTATCTTTCTTAATATCTTTTCTCCTTCACTTACTTGATTATGGTTGAGAAAATATTTATAGGGGTAATTTGAAAATTTTGATAAATATGATAAATAAGTCTTATATTTAGAACCAAAATTAATTTAGCTATTGGATCCTATATTAAAGCCAAGAAAAGTATTTTTTATAATAAGAGATGGATAGATTGTGATGCTAGAGATAAGAGGAAATAATGGTTTTTTAACTTCTTTCATTAATAAAAGCAAATTATTAGATTCGTTCCAACAAATAACTTTTAAAGCCAAGAGAAGTATTTTGGTCTTAGGGGTGGAAATAGGCCAAGCGGCCTGTCAGGGGCCTATAGCCTGGCTTGACCTATTTAAATATCAGAATAAGCTTAGGCCTGTAAAAAAACCTATTTAGTTTATCAGGCCAGGCTCAAGCCTGATAGTAAGCCTGTTAAGCCTGTCAAGCGGCTTGGACCTGTTATCTTTTTTTTTTTTTAGGTTAAAATTGTAAATTGACAGGAGCGAATATGCTATTCTGATTAGTTAATTGAGAAAACTCCACCCACATAAATGTGTTATCTAGAACCTATTGCATGCTTCATTTCATTTTCATTCTCTATAATAAAAATAATTGGTGTATGTATAATGACACATATTTGAACAGAGAAAGAAAAACATAAGTGCATTAAAAAAAAATAAAAGCATCATTCATTTATTTGATCCATGCTTTTCATATTAATCTTATATAGAATATATATATATAAATATATATATATATCAGTGTAAAAAAAACCGGACCGGACCGGACCGCCGGTTCAACCGGTAAACCGGTGAACCGGTCAGTGGTCCGGTCCGGTTCATAAGCTAAACCGGGGACCGGTTCAAACCGGATTGAACCGGTCAAACCGGTGTGAACCGGTGAAAACCGGTATGAACCGGTATTGAACCGGTTTAAATAAATATATTGATATTTATCCTATTTTTTCTCATTTAACTCCTAATATCTCAATTATTATAGATTTAAATGAATTTTGATGATGAGTTTGGCATCAATAACTATTAATTTTAGTTATTGAAAAAATTATAAAGATCAAAATTCTCAATATTGTTGTACTTTATTATTATTACAATCAAATTCTTATTGTATTTCTTTATATTTTGTTATTAGTAATTATTATTATTGTTATATTTTGTCATTTTTAATTAAATTAAATTATTTTAATATGACCGGTTTGATCCCGAGTTGACCCCGGTCTGACCCATTAACCCTTGAACCACTACCTCAACCGGTTTAGTGTCCGGTCCGATTTTTTGTTCCTTGATATATATAGAATTGACCTATTATGTTTTAAACCGTATATATGTGTGCTCAATCTAATTCTTATTATAATAGTTGCTTAATTAATTTAAATAAATAAATAAATTACAATAAATGCAACATTTTTTTTAAAACAACTATATGTAACAACAGGATCTAATATCATTTTGTTAGTAAATTAGTTTGAATAAATGATAAATTTAAAATGTGAAAGGGATTAAGGATGTTTCATATTTTAAACTAGATCTAGTCACCAACTAATTTTTATACTAGAGATGGGATGAAATGATATTTTTATATCAGAGTGAAATTATATTTTCTAATAATTTTTTATATAAGATTTTTTAGGGCCTAAGAGGACATGTTTTACAAATTGTGTTAATTTGATAATTTCATATTTTTTGTTTATATTTTCGATTAATTGGGTTGAATTATTGTAATTTTAAATTGATTTATGTGTGTTTAAAATTTGTTAAAAAAACAAGCCTCTTAACAGGTTATAGGATAGGCCTGATTCTAGACCAGACTCAAACTGATTAAAAAGTCTTTCACCGACCGCAGGTCAGGTTTAAGCCAACATGCCTCATTACAGGTTAGGTCTGTCAAAGACGAGGCCAGGTTTGTTTCCATGGCTAGGTCTCGCCCACCCTGATTCGAACTGCCAGCTAAAACACACCCCCGCTCTCGGGGCCGCCGCCCCCGCTCACGCTCAAGACACAAAACAGAGAACACACACACAAAACAACAGAAAGCCTCAATGTATCTCTTTAATTATGCGTGGCTGAATCTTCCGCGTGTCTCGTGTTTCCTTTTTCTAAAGGGAAAATTACACTCAGGTCCCACAGAACACAATTAATATCAAAAAGGTCCCTCGAAATCGCGAAATGATTCTGAAGTCCCCAGGGACCTGTGTGTAATTAATTCTAATTGTGAAATTACATAGTTACCCCTGTTAATTTGAACCTATTTACAACCTCAACAGTGGCTATTAACAACCCGAGAAGAGGTGGTTAACAACCTCAACAACGCCCCTGGTATTCCACAGAGTGAGTTGTCATAAGCACTGTCGAGGTTGTCAATCACGTCTTCTCGGGTTGTTAACAGCACTGTTGAGATTGTAAATAAAATTAGAACCTATTTACAACATCAACAGTGGCTGTTAACAACCCGAGAAGAGGTGGTTAACAACCTCAACAACGCCCCTGGCATTCCACAGAGTGAGTTGTCATGAGCACTGCCGAGGTTGTCAATCACATCTTCTCGGGTTGTTAACAGCCACCGTTGAGATTGTAAACGAATTGTTGCAATAAAATTAACAGGAGTAAGTAGGTAATTTCACAATTAGAATTAATTACACACAGGTCCCTGGGGACTTCAGAATCATTTCGCGATTTTGTGAGACCTTTTTGATATTAATTATACTCTGTGGGACCTGAGTGTAATTTTCCCTTTTTTAAAGATCGGCAGCGCGTTTCCTGTTTCTCATGTGTCTCGTGGAACTAAAAAATTGGCCCCATTTTAATTTATATATTTTGTGGTTTTTAAACATTTTACTTTCTCCTGTTCTTATTTTAAACTTAAAATAAATAACAAATAATTAACTGAATATACTTAAATATAATAAATAGGTTAAGAATATACTTTTATTTTTAAGTGTGCCCTTGTAATAAAAAAATGATAAAAGAAAATATGTGTGAAAATATGGTAGGAAAGAATATGATAAACGAGAGGGAATAAATAATTTAGGATAAAATTATAAAAATATATTAAATGTTAAAACAGACTTAAATTAAAACTTAATTATAAAATGGACCATATGATTTCCTAAATTTAAAGCTTATAAGTACATAAGAGAGTATTGTAATTATAGTGTGTCTCTTAATTCACAGAAAAATCTGCTGGCTAGATTTCATTGTACGTTGGTAATTGTTTTCATGTGCCTAAATTATGTTTTGTTTTTGTTGCCCAGAGTATCCTCTCACCTGAACAGTAAAAGACTAATCTCTTGAAGTACTGTCAAACCCAGAACATGATATTTAAGGCGTCCAAGTCCTTTCCACTTAGACTAACACTTGTTGGTAAATTGAGTTTAGAAACAGTCATTTTATTCATGGGCAAATTTTTCCTTTTGGTGATAATTCACTGGCAAATATATAAAAACAGTAAACAGACTCTCACAATCACGTTATTTGATCGTTTCATAAAAAGACATGATCGATCTTCACGTTATTATATTAAGTATTAACCCCAAGTTATTATTATTTTTATTTGATCAAGAATTTTTTTCTTTCAAGATTTAAAGCGTAAAGGATTTTTGCAAATGCATTTTCATGGATTCGAACTTGTGTTCTCTTGTTTACAGGAGAGTGACTACTTACCACTTCAATTAACAGCTTGTTGATAACACTAAATTATTGTTAATCATTATGCTGTGAATTTTTTTTAAAAAAATTCCATACAAACAAGCTAATTTACGTTTTGTAACTAAATAAGATTTTTGTCATCAACATCACCTCCGTGTTTGGATTTCAATTGGCCGAGCTAATTATTTTGAAAATATCATTTTCTTTATATTGATTTTCCGAATTTAGTAAATAATTTTAATTTTTGAAATATATCCCAATAAATATCATCTCCCCAGGTCCTTCGATTTAAATTTTCCTTTTAAAAATTCCAGGTTTTGTTATTTTGTATCTCGGTTGATTCGATTTATTTGGATTTGATTTTATTTAGTTATTAATAATTGTGACTTTTCTAATATATTTATAAAA